TCAATTTAATTGGTATCGGCAAGAGAATTTATATTGATTAAATTTATATTCAGCTGAGGTTAGAAATTGATGTAAAGCCATACGACAATAGAATTAATATAATCAAAGATTGTCAGTATTGTTAGGTTTACAATGGTTAATAATCTAGGAGTAGGTAATACAATGGCTCGAAAAGTAGGCAAAAAGTAATTGGGAGTTAAAATTTTATAAGAATATTTCAGCAATGAAATATCTGTTGACAAGTTTGGCTTTGTTTGGTTTTTGTTTATATGCTGAAAATGGTTATTAAGTTCATATTTCATAGTGTTCTTTTTATTATGTTTTTTATAATACCCATGTTTTGCAGAAAGTTTTCTATGGTCATATTCGTAGTTGTTTCACAATCAGTATAGATCAATGAGTATATTTGAAAATACTTTTTTCACTTATGATTGTGAATCAACAACTTATGATTGTGTTTTACAAAAAAAAACTTTATTGTTGGCAGAAGATCTCAATTTTGTAGTCTTTATTTATGTTTGTTACCTCATAATTTAGTTAGTTACAAATCGACTTGGGGAATTCTTTTTTTTATATCTGAAAGGATAGATATACTTTCAATTGATCTTACAGAAATTTCATCAAAATCATTTCAATGCTTTAATATTTAAATCAAGTAACTGATTTGCCACAATTCCGTATCTGTACCGTATCTTATATCTGAACTAATAAATGAAAAAATATTATTAATAATAATAATAATAATTGAAGAATGGTTTTGTTTTTGAAGTACATTCTTAAATTATTAATAATTGCGACACAATATTGTTATTTTTACGATTTAGAAAAATGCCTACACTTTCATTTACATTTACGAAATATACTTTATAAAAATGTTACCTAATAACCTTTAAGAGCAAAAACTTGTTTCTAGAACTTATTTAGAATTCAGGGAATTCAAATTAGGGTAAAGTTGGCATAAACAACTTATGTATTCTATTGGAATTAGTTATCGAAGGATTCACTGGAATAAAATTGATTAAGTCTGTCAAATACAATTGGATAGAATGAGATTGTATAAAAGGGCAAGAGTATCCAAGCTATATTTTATATTTAGAACTCGAATAGAGTACCTTAAAGAGAGCATGGCCAAATATCTTGGATATCACAAATTAGGCTTTGACGTCACTGGAACTTTTCATACAGTTCCAGTTATGCCTTTACCCGTGTCATTGTCCCCGTAAGTATGTTGATGGACGTATTCATGAAGAAAAATACGTTGATTGACAGGAATAAAAAGTAGTTCGGGTCTCCATCCAAAATAATAGAAGTAATAAACAAACAAACATACTTTCACTTTGAATTATATACGAGTAATAAAGAATTATTTTATCTAGGTATATAGTTACAATATGAATTTACAACTTAATAAAACCAATACATATATATATATATATATATATATATATATATATATATATATATATATATATATATATATATATATATATATATATATATATATATATATATATATATATATATATATACACACATAACATTTCATAGAAATATGTGATTTTCACTATTACAGAAATAAATCCCTGTGGGTACCGTAAGAGGCATCGAAGAGAACGTAATGATCGAGAGGTGGGTAGCAGCGTTTCTCTTAGAACATCACCACAAGCCAAACTGCAGTTGTCAATTCGCCTGCCAAGCGTGTAACTACTGGCAAAATCTCCTCAACGGTAAACTACCATAAAGAATGGTAACATCCTTTATAGCAGTCTATGGAGGAGGCCTGTTCAGCAGTGTACAGATATCGGCTGATGATGATGATGACGATTATGATGTGTGACGGAAATTGTAACATATTAAAACTACATACAGTTCTAATATGTTACAATTTCCGATGTTCCATTCACCATTTATTTCCATAAATAGATATGTATCTATGTCTTATACATATCTATTTATGGATTTAATTAAAAAAATCCGTTTGTTGGCAAACCTGTCACTTACCTTATCATCTATCTTGACGTATCCGCTTCCACACGCCGGAAATGTGACAGCGGGGCGCGAGATGGTGACTCAGTAATAACAATCGTTCGTCAGAGAGAGGTTATTATTGATTTGGCCATCAAACTGTTACAACGTGTCTAGCTAGCGATATGATTTCAATTTCAAATGCCCACCATTATGTGAATTATTAACATAATATTAGTCCACGCTGATAAAAATCATACATTGGAATTTCATATTTTACATTTATATATATATATATATATATAAATATTTTTCAATTATTTTTTATTTTATATTACAAAGGCGGCAAACCTGCGTTGATAACTGTTTGATAGTAAACGATCACTGTAGCCTCCATAGTCAGGCGTCCATACGCCTGCAACACTAGGGGTGTCACGTGGGCGTTATCGACCCTGAATAAACCTTAAGATACCCTCTTCGAAAAACCCTAATCTTATAACGTAATAATTTTTCAAGTTTCGTCTAAAGAATCTAAACACTAAGTGAAAGCAATAAAAACATGTTGCTCTATCTATTTTTTTTAAATATAGAGGGGAATATTAAAAGTAATTTTATTTTTTAACCTAATCTTGCAATATACGTTCCTCCCACTTACTGAGTAATTACTGTTTAATCTGATATCCCTATTCATACACACATTAACGAATCGCGAACGTGTAAAATACAAATTAATTCATATAAGAATACAGTTTTTGAAGCGTTTGTAGCGAGACGCTCTATCTATATAATATTTTTGCAGTAAACTTACAAAAGCAGCGTACATTATATATTGCTTGAAGGGTAAGATAGCCAGTACAATTTATGACACCATAGCTCTGAAAAGTGGCAAGCTTGAAATATTATGGGCAGTTTCGTAGTATTATATTACGTATTCTGTGATGTTTACGTCTTAAAAATCTCCATAATACGTATATATGTGTATATAGTGCTATAGTTACTACGTGCAGTGTGCATTTGAGGATAAATCGATGTATGAAAAAATCAATATTCATAATCCAAAGCGAAATTTTCACTGAGTGTCACTAATTAAAATAATAAATAAATGATCATCGTAGAATAAGAAAACTAAAATGGATTATTTATAAGTAATATAAAATTCACAGAATAAAAAAAAAAGAAACTGTTTCTCTATGTATCATAATTTCATTGACTTGTTCGATTAATTAAGATGTTGTTCTATAAAAACCGGCTTCAGTTGTGGCAAAACTACTTTGATTTAAAAACTGAACTACTGAATATATTTGATAATATTTCTATGGGACCAATCTGTAAGAATATATCCTTTCAAATAAAAGAAGAATTTTCCAAATCAGTTTATAACTAACGGGGTTATGAGGTAACAAACATAAAAAATATTACCAAAGTGACCGAAATATATATACCAGAGAGAGAATTTGTATAAAAATCGTTTGCTTGGGCACCTCTGTCCCATTCGTGTTTCTACCGTAATACAGGTGTGTTCGAATGGCTGTTTTAGTTTGAAGGGTGGGATAAGACAGTATTTACAGGGTACAGAGGAATCACACCTGAGTCCTCAAGAATGACAACGTATGGGAGTATCATGGGCGAAACAGTATACACTGTTGTGTCCATGGTACTGCTCATGTCTGTAGGCGACGGTTAGCACTTCCAATCAGGTGGGCTATTAGCTAGTCTGCCATTCTAAGTTGCATAAAAAAACATACAACCGAATAGAGAACTTCCTAAGAAGTTAAAAGGAAAAAAAAAACAATTAAATCCACTATTTCTAGATGGCGTATCAAGATAAAACGTATAAAGAGATTTTAAGATGGACCTTCCAGTACACAACGATGTAAACCATATCCAATTTGATCATCAAATTGGATATGTAGAAAACCAAACTACTGCGCCAAATTTTATACCAGAGAGACAGAAAAAGAAATCTAAAAATTATTGTTTTGATTTCTATCACTCTTAAAAGACGTTCCATATCAATTTATATACGCCCACTTTGTGCCATATTCAGACATTCTAGTTACAATTTTTTTATATTATTAAAATAGTAAAATATGGTCCTAGCATGGAATGGATCACCCATTATTTTCCCGTGAGGGTCGTAAAAGGCGACTAACGGAACTTAATGGTCGAGAAATGAGCAGCAGCGTTTTTAAAACACCGCCAAAGACTGACTGCGGTTGTCAACCTGCCTGCTAAGTGTGGCAACTACTAGCATAACATGTTTACAGCAGTGGATAGTTAACAGTTAATATAATAATAATAAAGACAGTAAATTTAAGATTAAGTAATCCAACCTCGGGAAATATAAATTTAAAATTATCGTAGTTTATGAACGCCTACAAACATTAGGGTCACTATGCGCGTAATGCCGGCCCTGATGAAACCTCTTTACCCCTTTTTTAAAGAACCCCATGCTGCAGTCTCTTGGAAATACCTGGACAGGGATCTCATTCCACAACCTAAGCATTCATGGTATTTCTAAATCCCAGCTTTATGCGACCATCTACGTTCTAAAGTATGGGAGTGAACTCCCTGTCGATGGCGAGCTGTATGGTGGCAGAAAGTGAATGTGGGCATCATATTGAACAATTCCTCTGAACACAGTCTGTTGTACAAGCGATTATAGAACAATTATGACTACTTCAACAAATAAAGTACAAATAAAGTGTAGATATTCTTTTTAGTATCCTTACATTTCATTTACTGGGTACACAGGAATAACACCTGAGTCCTCAGGAATGGCAACGCATTAGCGAAACAGTATACTCTGTTATGTCCATGATACTGCTCATGTCTATAGGCGACGGTTACCACTTTCCATCAGGTGGGCCGTCAGCTTGTTTGCCATTCTAAGTTGTATAAAACAAAACAAAAAACACACTTCATATTGCTATATTTTTCCAATGTGAGTACAGCCTTACTCTCACTTTTATGACTAGCATTAAATATTCACAAACGTCAGATATTTACTGTGTCAATAAAACAAAACGTCGTTTGTGCATTTACTTTATTAAATCGATGTACGACATAAAAATGTTTTCTGTACATAGATTAATTTGTTAACTTCGTACTTAAAAATATTAACTAATGTGATTTGGATAGGCTCATAGTCAGTCATTTAGAAATTATTGTATTCATATCGCTCGATCGTGATGATTATTTTTCTTTTTATTTCTATCCTTCATTGTTTCATTATAAATTTCATTATTGACACATGAAATTATAATTATGTCGAATTATAGATATAATTATAATACAGTAACACGCGTTCTGTGAACAATAAATATTATTCATAATTAATTAAATTTAATAATATTTTTAACTCATAATTATTTGTAAATTTTCATTATCACTTTATATTTTATTAAAATAGTCAAAATGACCGAGCACTCCTGTAACTATAATAAAGTCGAATTCAAACTAACACTTAACCGATCATAAATTATATACAAAACATACCAACTCCTATAGTTATTGTTATTAGTACTAGATTTGTGACGTTATATTAACGCAACAAATGGTTTGGAAATTCTTAGACATTTGAAACATACGAGTTCATTCATTTCCCACGGTTGATTTCATTTGAGTTCTTAAGTTCTTACACTTGGATACATCCTGATTCATCAAGCCGTGCAGCATAAGCTTCAAAAGTCTGAATAAAAATAGGTTAACACTGGATAAAAATACTTCCATTATAATAATTTAAGATTTTGTTTCACCAAGAAACCGACTTCGGTTGTGACAAAACCAGTTATTTTGATTTAAAAGTAAACTACTGCACCGATTTTGATAACATTTCTAAACGACCAATCTGTAATTATATCGTTTCAGATAACAAAAATCCAAATTTGTTTATAACTGATATATGTAACCATGAGATAACAAACATAAATAATTCAACCGAATTGAGAAACTCCTTTTTCTAAAGTCGGTTAAAAATAATAGATGACTTTTAATTCATTTAACGACCTGTGTGGTAAGCATATCTTTGTGCAATTGAGATCCCAGATTCGATTCTCGATCAGGCCCTCTAGACAAGTGACAAGCGAATTCGTCGATGGAATCGATATCGCTAGCGAGTCGTAAGTTGGAATGAGTCATCCGGCGTTGCTATCTCATTCTGTCTCATGGACTCGCTAGCGATATCGATTCCATCGACGAATTCATTTGCCATTTGTCTAGAGGCCCAGGACAATTTAGGAAACGAATCCTGCGAATTGGCTCGAGTCTGGATGTTCTGGATGTAGATCCAGGTATTCACCACTTGGTTTGTAATAACACAAAATTTACTGCTCGAGGACCAAGCGGTGGGTGTAATTTTATGGCATTTATTTTTATAAATATTTATTAAATTTCGTACTAAACAGCTGTAACATACATCAGCGCATATTGCGCTATATTGCATTAACGATAAACAACAGTATCGCAAACCGTTCCAATATTGCGTTAACGTAACGCATTCATGCGAACTGTACCTAACCACAGACACGTGAAGGGCACTGCAGTGAATAAATTCACAGCAAATTTGTGTAATATAAACCTATCTACACATATGACATTATACAATAATTTTTCGACAATATAATATAAACAGTCCATTACAATAGAACTAACTGAAAAGATAATAAAAATTGGTTGAAATTATCACAGAAAGACTCTCTGAATGAGATCAGTAATGAATCGAAATATTCAATTAATTAATAGACTTTTGTTTGTATGACTATTGGACATCAACAGACTTATTTATTTGCTTTTGTTCATTCACATATAGATATAAGGTTATAACAAAAATGTACACAGGTGGACTTATCCCTTAAAGGGATTTCTTCCAGTCAATCTTGAGAACCCGAAAAGAAAAAGTGTCTGTAGAGATTTTATATAAAGCATAACATAATAGTGCAAAAAATAATACGATAAATAATAAATTATGTTATTAGTAGCTATATAGTTAGTAATACAGTATAGACAAATAAAATTACAAATATATTTATTTAAACTTTAATGTACACTAAAGTTTTATGGACATTTGGCAGACTTAACCCTGGACGGTGTTCTCTACCAGTCAACCATTGGGCAAACCGAGAAATATGTAGGCGGTGCATTATTGAATAGAGGAAAAATAAAGCAATACTTAATATATTCATATAATACAAATATATAAATAGACTAATGTCAATATATAACTAATATATTAAATAAATATATATATACATGCGTAAATAAGTACATAAAATATTACTATATAAAACAATTAGATAAAACAACTGTAATAGAAGAGCAAATAGCAATCTATGACTCAAACAGAGTAACTAGCAGGAGAAGTGTTAAGGGAATGTGATTTTTCTAAGAAATAGGTGCGCAATTTGTGTTTAAAAGCCAGCTTGTTTAGGGTTGATCTTATGTCAAACAGAAGTACGTTCCAGTGTTTAATAGCCTAAACAGGAAAGGAATAAGAATGTATATATATTAATATGTATATATATACATATATAAATATGTAAAATCTTAGAATAACTGTTATTCATATAAGCAACTCAATTGTCTTACAGTCGGATCATTTATTTGTTTGTATATATTAAAGTTTCATCGAAACAGGCTATACTAGATAGTAAAAAGGTGTTATTCGTTATGGAACCTTTTACAGAATGTGGCTGGAATCTTGAAATTTCAAAAATTCATGTCTGCGTCGTATAGTAATATTGTCACATTTTCATGCTTCATCGTGCGCGAAATACCGTTGTTTGGCAAACCTGTCAGAGACCTTTGTATGCCAATACGGTCTAAAAACCCTCATTCTTTAACGAATGTTACCCACGGGATTGAATGCATGAATAAATGTAAAGTGTTTATTGTTCCCTTCAAAGAAGAGATACAGTTACATAAAATATGTGGATAAAAAGAAATAAACAAGAAGCGAAACATAGATATAACGATAGATAGTCTTTTTCCTATATAGCTATCTCTTCTGTGCAATCTAAGTATGGTGAAGAGCAATTAATTATAGTTGCATCTGGTGTAAATATAACAACGTGAATACGTTAAAAAAATAATAATGAAGAATAATAAATTATGAAGTTGTTAAGATGATTCTAACGTAAAATAGTAAAGCAATTCTGACACAATAAATATTCATGGTGATTCAACTCTCAAAAACAAGCATTGGATGTATACAGTCTTACGAATATGTATGAATGTGGCGTCTATGGTATCTGCTACTATTACAGCTTTTAATTAATTATGCTGTGAACAATATGGCACTCAGCTTGTTTACCATTTATAAAAGAAACTTCTTTCATTACCCCAAAGAAATGAAAGCAACCAATTATCTATAAGTAATATTAATGTGTGTATAATTAGTTCACTATCACTAATGCCCCATGCACCACTCATTAGTCTAATGAAAAAAGATAAAAGATTTATTGATTTCCATCTCACTAATCAGAAGTCGTGGAACTAATTCCATAAAACAATTACGCATGAATGAATTTCCATGACTCGTTTCCCTTTAGCATAAGAGCCATTTTCTCTAAATTGTTCCCGGGGCAAAACTTTCAACGACGGCAGTTAGCGTCGCAACTTTAGCAAGAGCTTGGTCATCTAGAGGTTAACACTGTTCCGCAAACTTTTCCCTACAACATCCTAACTAGCAACATTCATAACAGTGCCTTTCTGTGGCCTTAGTTCGGTACAGTTCGTAGTACAATAGGAAAGATTCAATTAATATCACAGTTTCCGTATTTTAAAGTAGGACATTACAAACTTATAACCACGTACTATTTACACTATCTAGAAACAGTAAGTCCTCGACACGTCCGAATACTGTCCCTTGTCTTGTTGTCACCCGAAGTAGTACTGCGCGTTGGAATATCGATATAAACTCCTCGTGTTAGGGTCCGTTTCGTTTTGCATTTGCACACGGGGTAATGTTTTCACTGCGACGCCACGACCGAGCGTGCCGTGAGGCATAGTCCGCAATGGCATCTCTATAGGGAATTCGGCGACTTGGCCGTACATATTGGTGCTGATGTGTGGATACGTATTAGGCACTGGTCGACCGACGTACCGATTTATCTTCGGGCTGAGGGCTACGTTGGTGAATTGCATTTCCGGTTTGACCGCTGAGTCCACAGTGTCTACCGGGCCGGAAAGGCTAGTGATGTTGATATCGTTATCTACTTCTGATATGCTGTCGTTGAAGCCATTGGGGATTTCCGTGGTGGCGGAAACATCGGGCCCTTTAGGTTGCTCTGTGTTTTGTTTGTGCATAACACACCGCACGATTGCAATGATGATGCAGAGTAGTAGTGCCACAGAGACCGCTGCTATTATGTACACGTACATAATGTCAAACTGATCTGTGGACAAAGCATTCATTATGATTATAAGGTACTTATATAAAATATAGAAACAGTAAAATTAGTAACAGTTACACAAATATATCATCATATCAGCCGTTATTTGTCCACTGTTGAACATAGGCTTTTCCATAAACTGCCATAAGGAATGGGAACATGCCTTATGGCATTTTACTATTGGATGGATTTTGCTAGTGGCTACCATGTTCTGCAGATGGATAAGACAACTTCAGTTTGGCTTTTGGGGATGTTTTAAGAAGGATGCTGCTGTCCATCTCTCGACTATTAAGTCGGGAAAGGAAGGGGTGGTTCATTAAATGTCGGAACCATACGGCATATACCATAGTTCTCAGGAATTCATGGGTATCATAGTATGTTCTGTGTTTTTCCATCAGATGGACCATCAGATTGTTTGTATTCTAAATTGCATAAAACAATAAATTATTGACAATAAGCTACGATTAAAAGAAATGTTTCGTGGATAATAAAATTTGCACTGTCTTAAGTCTAAATATTCTGTATTTAAGTTAAGTGAATTCAATAGTCATAATTGGAATAATAATAACTTATTTCAGAATAAAATATGTATGTACCTACATCTATTCATTCAGAGCCTTGTAAGGAAAGTACCAAAAAGAGTTACTTTAGATTGTTGCAGATTAGTGATAATTATAACAAAGAGTTAAGAAAAGACGATTTTAAGGACAAAGAAATGAAATATGAACTCTCGCAAAAGTTTTGCAATGGTCTTCCTACTTCTTACATAAATGTGAAAGTTTGTAAATTGTCTGCATGTTTGTTACGAAAATAATATTAAACGACGGGACAGATTTGAAAAGAACTTGACATATATAGATAATGCATTGGTAATTGAATTGGCTACTTATTAATAATATTGTATAATTTCTGTTCTTCGTTTCAATTATTTCATCTCCATAATAAGAGCTAAAGATGTAGGTTACAGATCAATCTCGAGTCTCGACCTCCGGTTTCGCCGTCGGTCCAATCCTACGGGTTGGGAATATATATGTACATTATTTTATTACATACTGAATTTCGAGATATCTGGGTTAACGTTAGGAAGGGTGCGGGGGAAGAGGGATATGCGCATATTGTTTAGTACAAATATTCATACAAATATTATGCTATTACACACTGTGATATAAATTAGCTCTACAGTGATTTTAATCGTGCGGATTAAATTAAAATTAATATACTATGTAGTAATTAGTTATATATTTTCTCTATTAGCACATTTCTATCAAATATGTTCAGCTATTTTCAACCGATTGATTTCAAAAAAAGAATTCAATTCGGTTGTATTTTTTTTTATGCAATTTAGAATGGCAAACTGACAAAGCTGACGCCCCATCTGATGGAAAGTGGTAACTGCGGCCTCTAGGCATGAGCTGTATCATGGACATTACAAAGTGTACTGTTACGCCAACGATACCCCCCATGCGTTGCTATTTTTTTATACAACTTAGAATGGCAAACAAGCTGAAGGCCCACCTGATGGAAAGTGGTAACCGTCACCTACAGACATGAGCAGTATCATGGACATAACAGAGTACACTGTTTCGCCCATGATAGCCCCCATGCGTTGTCATTCCTGAGGACTTATGTGTTATTCCTCTGTACCTTGTAAATTCACTGGCATATCCCACCCTTCAAACCAAAATATGTTTCTTAACTACGTCATAACTCCGTCAGTTGTAAATAGATTTGGAAAATCCTTTTTTTGTCTGAAAGGATATATTACAGAATGGTCTTTTAGAAATTATATCAAAATCTGTTCATTAGTTTAGTTTTGAAATCAAAGTAACTGGCTTGGCTATAATTGAAGTCGGTTTTTATGTGGAACACAATCTTAATTATAGTATGGTTAGGTCTACCTATAAATTAATATGTAAGTGTCGAAGGGATCATCGGTAACATAATGTAAGACCTTTATTTAATTATACTACACACTAGTCGACTAAGGATCTCTGAATAAATTCGCCATCGATCGGGTAAGATACGTATTTTCTGAACCATCTAACTATTCAAAATATTTCACGTTTTTATATAAAACTAGCGGCCCGTCCCGGCATCTCACGGGTGGACATTTTTAACATTTCCCTTCACTGCTCTGCTCCTATTGATCGTAGCGTGATGAAAAGTATACTATAACCTGCCTAGGAGTATGAAGAATAATTGTACCAAGTTCCTTTAAAATCCGTCGAGTAGTTTTTGTTTCTATAACGAACATACAGACAGATAGACAGACAGACAAAAATTTTACTGATTGCATTTTTGGCATCAGTATTGATCACTAATCACCCCCTGATTTATTTTGGAAATATATTTCATGTAGAGACTTGACCTCTCTACAGATTTATTATAAGTATAGATTACTAGGATATCATAGTTTGTAAAGAAGTTTAGGCGACTTTTGTACAAACTCTTCAATTTCATCTTTATGCTGTTTTCAAAGGGTATTTGCATACACACATTATTTGCATGTAAATATAATGTTTTTTTATAAGTGGCAATATTCTGATAGATTAATTTCAAAATTTTGATAATTTTTCAACAATAAACAAAACTAGTTTCTGATCGATTAAAACCACTGTTTTATAATTTCAATATTTAGATAAATATATTTTTACCATCTTTAGCTAATTGTTGATTCGGTGGCGACGCAGACGGTAGATCTCTCAGGACACTTGTAGCGTTGATGCTGGTGGACATAGAAGGTCGTTGAGGTGGTACACCAGCTACCGCTGGTGCCGGAGGCACTGCTGACTCGACCCACCACCGGTCTCCGGAATCATCTATGAATATTGTTTCACAATAAGATCTAATAAATTACAAAATAATATCTAATTATTATAGTAGAAAAGAATTATGAATAATAATTAATTAATATTATTTTTTTATTATTATTGCAACAAGAAAAATATCTTAAATAATTTAACAAATTAAAATATAAATAGTCTATTTTAAATGTTAATATTAATGTTCATTATAAAGTTATTTACTTACAAATTTTTAAATTGTAAAATAAAAATTCTCTTTACTTATATTAAATATTATCTATTAAAAACATAATTTTAATACTATAGATTATTGTAATATATATTTGAAGTAGATGCCAATAAAATATCTTATACTAAATTTTTATGTAATAATAACTTTATTAATTTATAAACAATTTTTATATAGGTAATTTGATTTTGAAAAATTAAAAAAGTTTTTTTTTTATTTTATTGTTACGTTTTTAATGTTATGTTTATCTTGTACATAACCATACAATACAATAATATTTGAAATTAAAACAAAATAATGTAAAATAACAGTAAGTAATTATAATACCAATATAGAATCTTAAGCCGAACGTAAATGGTTTCCAAAATCGTTCCATAAATTACGCGGGGAGTTTTAGAGATAACATCGCGAAATACTAATAACACCTCTAATAGAGTTAGAATATGAGCCGTCACGAACCATCTCCCCGCTAAAGGGAAGCTTTCATCCCTTAATCCGTTTTTATACTGACAAAGCAAAGAAGAATACTGGCATTGAACAAAATAAATCCTTGTAGATTGCGCGACTCCAAATTAAGAGTGGATTAACCAAATTTCTTAGCTGTGTCTTGTCTCGCGACGTTAATAAAGTTCTAAGAAGACTTCAATTTTATCTCTAACATTTGAACTGAGTTAATATCTTAATTAATCTATATAGAAGATTGAACGGATGAACGAATGAAATTTATTGTGTATCTATCTAGAAATGTAATTAATTAATATATATTATTTCTGTACAATTTACTTTAAGACAATGTTAGTTCTTGTTTATTCTTCTAATATTTTGTATAATTAATTATGATTTTGAGAATGCTACAATGATTCGACTTTTTTTGTATATAAATATTGTAAGTTATAAGCTAGACAAAATTATTGTTCTAAGTGGACTGAGCTTAAGCGATCTAAAGACTTTTAAATTGATTAAGTATTTATAAAATTGGTTAAACACAAATTGCATTCATTCCTCGAAAATTCCGTACTGATGCAATTTAAATTGAAAATTAACAAACAATGAGAAAATTCGCTGATAAATGAATGGCACATTATGAATGACCATTTTAATTATTTACCGTAAATGGCAGGCACTGAAAACGAACAATATTGTAAATAAAGTTTAACTTAAATTTATTCTAAAGAAGTTTTAAATTTTTACTTATTTTTGTTTGTCAGATAAATCCCACAATGAACTGATCTAAATTTATGGCCACTGTATTTCTTTCAATTATAAATTAACATCTATGTATTTTTTATTTACGTAAATAAATTTACAAAATGCGAAATATTATTTAATATGTTTTTTTATATATTTATCTTGTAAAGAGTAATTAAAATGAAATATTTTATTATTGAATTAAATGTAACTAATTCAAATGGTACTTAATTAATTATATTTCTAATCTCAATATTATTCAAATATCAGATTAAACCGCAACTTGACAGTCTTGAATGTTTACGACATTGAATATTTGTTTCTGTTACCTAATTAAGGTTAACGCTGTTCATGATCTTTTTTCGACCACATCTACTGTCGTTATAAATCAAAATATATATAACAAAAAATAATATTAGAACTTGAAAAGCGACAACTTTTATCACTATTCAATTTTATATCAACAAAATTTTTTTTGTAAAATAATATTTTTATTTTACAATGTATTTAATTAAATTTCTGAAACCAGTATTATCCAATTACCAGATCAATAGCCATACTAGAACATGCCATGATAGCCTCTTGCGTTTACGACACCGAATATTTGTTTCTATTGCCTCTTTAAGAGAAGAGGTTATCGGTCAAGTCGGCAAGAGATCGTGGACATGATCTTTTGCCGAACATTAAGCACCGCCATAAAATATAATATACGTAACACAAATTATCTGTACTTAGATATTGAGAACTAAAACCATTGTCCAATGTATACTTATTTTCGAAAATAAAAATAATTACATTTAAAATTTTAAGGGGCAATTTTTTTATATATAAATATTATTTATTTTATAATTTAATTTATAAATTAAATTATATTTAATTAATAAATACAATTAGGTAAATCAATTGCATTTCTAATCTCAGTATTATTCAATTAGTGGATCGATAGCTAGACTAGAACGTCACTTGATAGTCTCGTGCGTTTACAACACCAAATATTTGTTTCTATTACCTCGTTAAGAGAAGAGGTTAATGCTGTCCGCGATCTTTTCCCGACTACATCTACACCTTTATAGCGCCGCTATAAAACTACCTCACTTCGACCCAAGCGATTCATGAGATTGTTGTCTGTGAACATTACATTGGCTTTATAGTTACAGCGTTCTTTCCTTTTGTTGCGTTCACACAACTGTGATTACACTTAGTATCACAATATACGAAACTGATTTACGGCCGTCGTAAAATGTTCCACGGTGAACCTGATAGATATAATAATGTGACAGTCGAAAAGTCGTATGTAACGAGTATTATTTTATGTATTAACATACCATTATTTGATACGGTTTCTTTAGAGATGAAAATGGAGCGGAAGCCCTACCTGTGCTATTGATATATGCTAGCACACGCAAGCAAGGCACAAGGGAGGAATGATAAGTGAGAATGTAGAAAAGAGAAAGTAGATTAGTAGAACTATCCTGACAGGGGGGAAAGGGATTGTTAGTAATGGAGACTGAGAATCCCATTGCTAGCAATATACCCAACCAGGTTGACCTCCTCGCGGTTCCCCTGGAAACTATCATGGTTAATTTCTGATGAATTCATCATGATGGGCTAACTGGCCTGTTTTCATTCTCATCTATCATCCTTAACTGGTGCCTCGCCAGCGTATCCCGTTAGCGCAGGCGGGGTTACCATACCATTTTCACCCATAAAAAAAAAACTATCCTGACATATTTATCAGAAATTAACCACAAATATTTCAAAAAGGGACGCAGAAAGACGTAGAGATCGACCTGATGGTATTTATTGTCAGATAAATACTATAACCCATTGTAAATAACACGCTAACTACGCTTTTACTATTTTGACGGATGTCTCCATATATCTTATATTTATAAAAATTTGGTGTAACGGTGTTTGTGGTCGCACACTTCCGAAACGATTCGAATATTTATTATTTTTTTTACATTTTGTGAGCATAGGTCGTAAAGTACGTGTATATTTCTTACCGCTACGTAGTAAGGGTGTCCTTATCGAGAAAAAAATATTTATATGGCTATACAACGGTTGCCGGGTCAGCTAATATCATTATATATTTTTAATGATTGAAAATCAAATAGAAATCCCGCTTCGGCTGTTAGTTTACGCTGACGGAGTACCAGTGAGGGATGAAGATGAATTCAGATTAGTTGGTACGTTGTCAAGAATTCGAACAGAATTAATCACGATGATTTTCAGGGGGAGGTCGACCTGTTGAATATATTGCTAGCAATGGGGTCTTTAATCGTTAACACACGATATTAGTTTACTACTAAAATACTGGCTAAGCATTTTGGCGTAGGGGTTTCATTTTGAGTTCCCTTTACTTGCATTGGTGTAATGCACTTTGTTCGACTAATCATATTTCACAATATTTTGGATAATTGGTTATGTTATACTATAATATTCCTATGAATCTCTTCACGTAACAGGAAATCTATGCCTAGTAGTGGAATATTAAAGTTTTGTTAATCATCTTCCTGCCCTTATCCTAAATATTTATGGTCAGCGTAATATAATTTTCTTAATATTGCTCAAGGTTTTGATAATGGTTTGATAATTTAATATTTAATTTAAATACTATGTTTTCTATATCTACAATCTCCCTATCTCAAAAACAATCTCCGCCGTATATTTAGAATATTATTTTAATTTAATAGTATATTCGTATAAATTCCTTAGATAACATTTATGCTCTAGGGGAAACTCATTACAAGTAGATATTCATACAAAAAAGGACGTTATTTATTAAATTTATTACCGCAAATAGGTATTCTTTATTGCTGGCATAGGATAAGATGAGAAAAAATGGGATACTACACTATAGATAGCAATTTCTTTACGTCTTCATTCACATCGTATAAGAGGATTAGAAATTATAAAAACGAAATACTATTTTACTCTCTAAATAGATTTTATTTTATATTGAATAAAAAAAAAAACAAAAAAAAAACAATTGGAAAAACGTTTTCAAATGAAATCATTAGACATTTAGATTGAGTTTATTTTCTTTTAGATATCGTAAGATCATCTGAATAGCTCTGCGAAATCGGATTCAAGATATTATGTAAAAAAGTCCTTTATATAAATAACGGTATAAAAAAGGCCCTACATCTTCTAATGTTACTCCATAATGATGTAGTTATTTAAATTTATTTCGTCTATTTTTTACTAAGGACAGACTTTGTACAAAAGTCTGTTTATATCTGGGCATATGTCTTTTTTATACTTTTATGCTAACATGAAATAACTAAGTGTGCATTTATAATGATTGCAATTAATAATATTAGAAATAATGAAAGGGAAAAATGTTCTGGTTATTTGATTAGGATTATTTTATTAAACTCCGCTAATATTAATATATGTATGACTGCCAACACTCGAAGATTGACTACCGTTAATACTACAAAAATAATATTAGACATCAATCTCCGATTGCCATTTTGTTCACGCACGTTTTATGAAACGTATTTCACCTCTAAACGAGGCATCTTCAGAAATATTCTATTTAAGTAAAAATCTTAGATTTATTATATCATTATAATCATAGATATTCTCTGAGAGAGAATTATTTTCTGTATAAACTTCTATTGGTCTCTACTGTCATGATAATCATTAATCGTATAGAAATCTTAATTCTAAGCTTGTATTATAATAATTAATAAGTTATCGTAATATTAATATATGTAATTCAATACCAAAATTATTTCACTAAAAAGCTTATTTATTATAACTGTTTGTGATGTTCCTTTTAAAATTAAAAATAAAATTTAAAAGTAGCAAAACAAACAAGCTACTGTACATCCACTTAAGTAGTGAAAATAAAAAAAAAAAATATACTAACCGACATCATCATGTTCGAGATCGGACACGTCATGTGCAACCTCGTCCTCTTCGGGAGCACTCTCATACCTCTCCTTAAGTACCGTCCGCGGAACTGCAACAAAAAATACACTTTGACTCACAGTAATAAAACTTATTTCAATTAAACAGAAACTAAAGCAACAAAATCGGAAACGGCCGCAATTAAAAATGTACTTAAATACGCAGCTGTAGGGGTCATTTTCTTTTACAGCGTCTCAAGAGCCCTTAATACTGTGGTTCATTAAGGCACCGCTTAACTTGGGATGTTAATTTTAGATTTTAGGGTGCTTAGGGATTTATATTTTTAGTGTCTCGAGTGTGCCACGTTTTATGACGAAGAACAGTTTCGGTTGAACGTGACTTGTTAGTGTATCAGCTGTATTTTTTGCTGAGACAGACATCATACCTACCAGACGACGTCATTTTTTGTCATAGATGGAATAAAACCAAAGCGCCATTTACGATTAAATATTTAGGTTAATCTATTAAAACATAAGGTTCGTACATATTTTTTTTATATTGTCTATAACTTAATATTATATATACATATATTTATAGCCGTGTAGATCCCGGCATAGAATAGACCACCCCTTCCTTTCCCCGTGGGTGTCTTTTTTTTAATAGGTGAAAATGGCATAATAACCCCGCCTGCACTATCGGTATACACTGGCGGGGTACCAGTAAGAGGTAATAGGTGAGGATGAAAAGGCAGGTCAGTTAGCTCATCATGACGAATTCAACGATAAATTAGTCACGATAGTTTCCAGGGGGAACTGCATGGAGGTCGACCTGGTAGGGTGTACTGATAGCAATGGCGACTAATTTCCATTACTAACAATCCCTTCCTCCCTTCCCGTGGGTGTCGTAAGAGGTGACTAAGGGAGCTTATGATCCCCAAAATAGCAAAATCCTATGGGGAAGGCTATGTTCAGCAGTGGATAGTTAATGGCTGATACAACACATATATGTTTAGTTTATATTGAAACACGTAGATCCCAATGCGATAATAAATGTATATATTTTGCAATATACTTCTATTGAAGGGTATTTATTCTTTATTGTACACAAATATAATGTAAAGAACAACAAATTTTAAACATAATGTACAAAGGTGAGCTTATCTTTAATAAGAGATTTCTTCCAACAAACCTTTTCTAGTAAATTAAATGTTATTTAAAAATAAAGAAATAGGCAGTCAGACGATTTGTGTACATTACATAAACATATTCATAAGATAAGTATACACAAAAAATTATACAAACTACATATACTTATTACACAAAATACATAAAAAATATAAACATACACATACATGTATATATACTTACACATATACATATATGGGTATGTATACTTCACCTATTATAAACAATTTTAATTTTTCTTTTTATTTAAAATAATTTAATTATATACGGAATTAAACTAGAAATAATATTATTAAATTATTAATTTGTTTATTTAAGAAAATATAGAACTGATCTAAATAATAATAACTAAGTTATTAAAATTCAATTAATAATTTATTTATATAAAGTTAAATATACCTACCGAGTAATTAGAATAAATTACCCAGGTTTTATTACTTATAAAACTGTGGCATTTTTATATAATTACTCAATAAATTTACCTAATTGCACGATATTTTCCTTCGTTGTTTAATTATTTTTAAATGGGCACGGACACTGATATTTCCGGGTTGTTATAAAACGACCGAGTCTCCGCGACTGTTCATTAAAAAACGGTAAAAGTTTAGTTGCATATCGTATAACAAATGGAAACAGACTAAATATAGAAACAGTATATTTATCTATGTGCGAGATGAAACCACAAGATAAAAAAGTTAATAATATAAATTAATACCTATACATATTTTCAATGTTTTTCAAATTTAATTCGAATGAACTTGTTTTTAAAATCGTATTTTTTTTTAATCTACTGCAGGGTTCGGACGGTTGTTATCTGTTGAGAAGAACCCGCAAGAAACTTAAGTTATTTTTTTAATCTGTGTTAACATTATACGTATTTATTTAAATGTTCTATATCTAAAATTACTTGCTCGTTAAAAGCCCGTGCATAATCGACTAACATGATGCACATTTGTCATTCGAGTAAGCGTTTAGAGTGTAATAGGCTTTGTTCAATGAGTGTTTTTTTTTAATTACAGTTTTAAACTTATTAAAGGCAGATCCAAAATATCCTTTAGAATATAATTACAACATTTAATGCCATTCATATAAAAGAATAGAATAGAAGAAATTTATTATTTGACAAAAAACACAAAGTTACAAACACAAGATACAAATACAAAAGACCTATTAACTTATATGATATTATTATAAATAACATAATAATAATAACCAAATCGCCTGCCAAGCGTGTCAACCACTGGCAAAATCTTCCAAGGGGGAAACTTATGTTCAGCAATGGACAGTTAAGGGCTGATATGATGATGACGATGATGATGATTATCTCGTCCATCAAACCAAACACACAGCTAAATACACACAGCTACTTCACGGTAGAAATACGACTGGGACAGAGATACGCGTAGATGACTATTGTAAAAAAAGAAGTAGGTACTCAATTCGGTTGTAGTTCTTTAAAGTTTGTTACTTCATAACTTAGTCATGAGGTTTAAAAAATTCTTTTTTATCTGAAAGAATATACCTACTAACAAATTGGTTGCATGGACATTTTATCAAAGTCGGTTCAGTAGTTTGATTTTTAAATGCCACAATTGAAGTCGGTTTTTTTTAGATCACAATTTATTTTTATACCACTGAGGTGGCTAACAATCATACGGCCCATTTTATGGTAAGTGGTTACCTTAGCCTATGAACACCTGCAATACCAGAGGTATTACGCGTGCGTTGCCGACCCTGAAGAAACCTTTTTTGCCCCTTTTGAAGAACCCCATGCTGTAGGCTCTTAGGAAAACCTCGGCAGGGACCTCATTCCACAACATCAGGGAGGAAACATCTCTGAAACTGCGCAGTATGCAACCATTGAGGCTTTAGGACATGAGGATGAACTCCCTGTCGATGGCGAGCCGTACGATGGTAGAAATCTCAATTTGTCGTAAATAACTTTAACTATTTAATACTGCCTCGTGATCCTAGCCTAGAATGAGCCACCCCTTTTTCCCGTGAATGTCGTAAGAAGCGACTAAGGGAGCTTAATGGTCAAAGGATGGGCAGAAATGCCCCTCTTAAAACAATACCAAAGCTTAACTGCGGTTGCCAATCCACATGCTAAATGTGGCTTTCATTCAGCAGTGGATAGTTACCGAATGATATGATGACATAAAAAAAATTAAAACTAAACTGTATGAATACCTAGTAAACAGAACATACTATTCAATTGACGATTTCCTTGAAGATAAATGTAATAAATTTCCATAATATTTTTTTACTATAAATGTGACATTGTTGATTTTTTATTTTATATAATTTGTTGTTTCTTATATAATTGCAAATTTGTATACCTCGATATATGGGGTTTATCATAGAGGACTTATCTTGTTTTACCATCCATTGTTACCTATGTATCACAATTTAAATAAATAAATAAAAAAAATAAGTAAAAGCGGGAAACAGTGTTAACGGTGCACTGCTCTCGATTATGTCAAGTAAAAATGTATCGAGCAAAGCTCGCCTTGCTATAATTCAAGGAGTACTGACACCAACACTCATGTATGGAAGCGAATCGTGGGTATGGCAGAAGAAGCATGAAAGTAAGATAAATGCTGTACAGATGAGAGCTTTGAGAAGTATGTGTGGTATTACTTTAAAAGATAGAGTAAGAAACAGTGTGATTAGAGAGAAGTGTGGACTGAAAGACGATGTAGTGACCAAAATCGAAAAAGGAATGTTGCGTTGGTTTGGTCATTTGGAGAGGATGGATGAAAGAAGAATTACGAAAGAGATTTATCGAGCAAGAATGAATGGAGATGTCGGTAGGGGCCGCCCTAGACGGACGTATGTCGACCAAATAGGCGACGTGCTGAAGAAGGGCCAAATTAAAAGTACCCGTAACCGACGAGCGTGTATGACAAGATTGATGAATGTGGAAGAAGCGAAAGAGGTTTGTTTGAATCGAAGCATTTGGCGTTCCATTGTTTCTGCCTACCCTAATGGGAGACAGGCGTGACAGATATGTATGTATGTATGTAAATAAAAAAAAAGAAATATATGTAATAATTATCATGAATCATTGAAAATTAATATTATCATTATTTTTGTGAAAGCAATACTGAACCGTGTTCACTATTCTTGTAGATAATATTATAGGTATATAGAGTTTCGAATATCCGTAGTTCGTCTCGCATTCTTATAACTTATATTTATTATTGACGCCAGTCAGGCGAGAAATGTTTCAATCGAACTTCACTAGACATGAACTGAATGTACTGCATACTAGATATTTGCTGGGTATTATATTATCTGATACTAGATAGATAGATAGATAGATACTCTTTATTGTTTCCTCTAAAAGATTACAATAGTAAACTTATTCTAGATATAAACAATTACAAGAAATAATCACAATGAAAAAACAGTGTGCAACCTTATCGCTAAAACTAGCTAGCTAATATATTTTTATATTAATATAATTTATATTATTATTTTTATATTAATAGCTAATTTATTTGCATAGTTAATATATTTTTTTAAAAGATAATAGTGGAATGATGGAATTTTAGATTATAAAGTATACATATTGGCAATGTGAAAGAGATGTGCTGAAACTAAATACAACATAATTATGTAAAATGAACGACAAAATTGCACATTTTTATGTAATTACGCTGTAAATATATTAGAGAACAATTATAAATATTTTGTACAAGAGCTGATAGGAAAAAAAAAAGTTCTGAACGTTTCCGAATTGAAATTAAATTTATAACAAATACATGAATTTTTTTGTCCAGCAGTAGAAGAATGATAGCTAAAATGATGATGAATGATGACATGAATTTTTACTGTTTCTACAACTTCAATCATAGAATTGTTGATAATAATAATAATAATAGCCTTTATTAACAATCTTACAATATAGTTATAATAATTTAGT